GAGTAGAGATGAGCTGTAACTAGAAAACCCCAGTGAAGTAAGTTGTGTGGCTTGAAAATTATTACATGAAGAAGAAGAAACTGTGTAAAATAAATCATGTTAGATAACTTTTGTTTTGACAGAAACTCTTCATTTGAGTAACAGTTCTGTGCCAGGTCTCCTGCCAGATACTGGGCTGATTTTTAGCCTTTTTGCGGGGATATTACCATAGTCTCTGGTTCTACCATCTTCCCTTAGGCCTCACTTCCCCCTGACTTTCCCATCACAGCGACCAAAATTATCTTATTAAAACGGCAAATAGTGTCACACATTTGATCAAAGTTCTTACCTCACCTGGGGTGGGGGCCGAAACCTGAGATTCTAAATTGCTCTACATGCTTTAGAACCCTGTTTCCTCTTTTACCCTCCCCACTGAATTCCCCAGGAAACCTGTTACTCGTCTTCTTCAGCCACACCAGGCTCACTGCTAGTGCCAGGCTTCTGCACTTGGCGTTCCCTTGTTCTTCCCCAGTCACTGTGGCTCACTCCTGCAGGCCACAGACACCATCTTCTCTATGGGACCCTGTCCTCACACCCTGGCTAAAACTGTGACCTCCTGCTTCCCACTTCCTACTTCCGGGTCTATATCCATCTCTCTCTCTCTGCTGTACTAATCATCAGGTAACACCCTGCATATTTTTCTCATTACTTTTATCTTTCTTGTTCTACTACTGTGTAAGTTTTGCAAGGCCATAGTTGTTGTTGTTGTCATTTTGCTTATGCCTGTGCCAGGTGCTTTGAGCACCTGAGTGAATACACACCAACACTCAGTAAATATTTATTGAATCAAAAACTCAATTTGGATTCATAAGAACATGCAAAGAAGGAAATCAACATTACTTACAATCTTCTACCCCACTGATCTTCCCTCTACCCTTGTGATAACCAATCCTTTCCCCCCACTTCCTTCTTTCCCTTATTTTGCTCTAGCTTCCACATATGAGAGAAAACATGTAACCTTTGATTTCTTTGAGTCTGACTTATTTCACTTAGCATGATTTTGTCCATTTCCATCCATTTACCAGCAAATTCCATTATTTCATTCTTTTTATTTGCCCCATTTTTGTTATTTACATATTTTTAGCTCTCAAATTAGTTGACTTTATGTCCTAAAATAATAAAATTTTAATCTCTGTTGATTTATCAACTTTAGACAGTATGTATTGACTCTCTACTAGGAAAGATAAGTAAATAAAACATTAAATGTGTTTTCATTATTTTTTTTCGCCTCTAACCCTGAGATTTTATTGCTTTTATTATCATTTTTCCTCACTTTATAAACTTTTCAGTATTTATATTCTGTTCTCTAAATTTGATTAAGCCTCTGTGTTTTGTCATAGGTTGATTCTAAAAACTAAAAACCAATAAAGGAGGTTGGATAATGAGTACCCAAACACAGTTAGAGGGAAAAAATAAATTCTGGTGTTCCAAAGTACAGTGAGATAACTATCATCCCCAGTAACCTATTATATATTTTATGAAAATCTAGAAGAGAGGAGCTCAAAGACTTCAAACAAAAATGAAAAGGAGAGGGAATGTTGGTTACCCTGATTTGATCAGTAAGTGCTATACACATGTGTTGACATATCACACTGTATGCCATTAATATGCATAAATAATATGCTAATAAGTTAAAAATAAAATTAAGAAAAACAGTAAAGGCTATTTACATTGAGGTATAAAAAATATGTACCAAAGTTTTAAGGTCGGTGTTTGGTCCCACAGAGAATGAGCAATCATGCTCCTTCTCATTTCCTGTAGATAAATAGCCTGTTACATTATTATTTTATCTCTCTCTGACCACCTAGCTTAGTTTTTAGCCATGTCTGGTTTATTGTCAGTGCATCCATTGACCTATAAAATTTTAGTCATTATTTTTGTTTTCCAAGAACTGTTCTTGTTATCTGATTACTTCTTTTCCATGGCAGCCTCTTTTTGCTTTATGACCCTAATATCCTTCCCTATCTCTCTGAAGGTAATAAATCTCTGCTGCCTGAATTATCCCTGTTTCCTGTAGTGTCTTTTCTGTTTGCTCATTTGGGGCTCTATTTGTTATCTGTTGCTGCTTAACAGTTTCCTCCATAATGCTTAATACAATAAGCAACTTGCTGTAGTCCCCAAATTTCTGTGGATCAGGAATTCAGGCATGGCTTAGCTGGATACCTCTGTCCAGAAATTTCTCACGAGTCACTATCATGGTGATGACCAGGTCTGTTGTTCAACTGGGGGAGGCTCTGCTTCCAAGTTCACTACCATGGTTGTTGGCTAGGTTCACTTCCTTACTGTTGTACTGGGTCCCTAGATGGCTGTTGGAAAGAGGCCTCCTAGGTCTCTAATTATCATAAGCGTCTGTATAGAGGAGCTCATAACCTGGCAGCTGGCTTCCCTTGGAGCCAACAAAGAATGCTAAAGAAGGTTAGTGATCTGGAAGCCAGAGTTTTCTTATGAACTAGTCTTGGAAATAACATCCATCCCTTGGCTATACTTCCTGATAAATATGCATTGCTTTAAATCCCTAAGTTTGTGGTGATTTGTTTCATAATAGAAAAGAAACCCAGCATACTTCATGCTTAGGTACTGTGACCTGATGGCATGTTATTGCTGCCATCCATGCCCTTTATTCCTTTGTTTGGGGGAATGTGAAGAAGAGGAGCCTAACTTCCAGATGCTCTGCAGGCACCTGTCGCCCCATGTCTATTGCCATCCTTTGTGGTGGCTGGTTCTGAGCTTGGAGCTTCTCTGGACCACTCATGTACAGAGAGATACTTATGTGTGAAATCTCCATCTTTGATTCATTTTTACCACCAAGTTAATTCTGTTTAGTTTTTCTTGTTATGGAATTTTACATAATGCCTGATCTGTTGATGGCAAACTTTCCTGTTCCATAATGCTTTTATGGTTTCATTTTTTAAAACAGAAAATGGTTTTCTCAGCTAGGTTTAATTTAATAGGACCTTGTAAATGAAAAGAGGCACGTCTTGGTGAGGCTTGGAATGAACTCCATCTCATATCTGGGCTGGACTTACCTTTTTATTTTTATAAAAAGAAAAGAAAATACCATTCTGCTATCTAACATTGACCTAATATACTTATAATTACTTTGGCATATTTCTAATAAAGTCAGTGAGAAAGGGCAGAATTTTTATCATGATAATTTTTTTCTTATGCTCTATTATTATTTCCTCCCTTTAAACTTTCCCAAAGCATCCTTTTATAAAGATTCTGTCCCTCCTCCCTCCGCCACCAACACTTTCACTTACTCACACTTTCTTATACTCTTTTAGGGAGAGTTATTAGAACAAGTGACTTAATATTGCTGATGCTATGTTCCTCTCTAACACCATTAGCATGCATGATGTAAGTGCTGAGGGTGTTGAGATAATTGAATTAAAATTGTGATTTTAGAATTGTCTTAACACTTTTTTAGTTTTAAGTAACACAAAGATATTTCGCATAGTTAAGGTTAAGTAGGGAATTTATTAGAAGGAAATTGCAATATCTCACTGACTCTCGGGGTACAACTGTATTCAGATGTTATAAGTCTGATCCTGAAATCAGAAAGCCTACAGGAACCCAGGTAGCCAGTCCTTCTCTATCTCAGACTTTCTGCCTGCTTTTCTGAATACCTGCTTCTCTCTCAGAAGACTCACATTGACAGGTTATACATGGATGTAGCCAAACAGGGATGCCTGACTATGGCAACTGGATTTTCCAAGTTCATAGTGTCTCAGTTCAAGTAAACAGGGCAGAGGCACAATCCCAGCTTCTGAGGAGGAAGAATGTATTTAGCTGGGGCCGGTTCTCTTTTTAGGCTGGTCCAGTGTGGTCATGAAAGTAGGTTTTGTGGCATAAACATGGCTTCTGTGGCTCAAGTCCTAAAGACAAGTAAGTAGCTGGAAGTTTGGGCAGCTACATCACGATAATCTGATGCTATTTCTCATCTGAGAGAGGGTAGCTTGTGTTTAAGAGCATGGACTTTGGTCAGACAAACCTTGATTTAAATCCTAGCCCTGTCACTTACTAGCTGTGTGTCCTGAGGCCAATATGTGATCAGTGAGGACCAAATTTTTTCTCTGCAATTGGGATCATAAACCCCATCTCCTGGGATGCTGGGAGGATGACATGAGAAAACATGGTACATCCTCTGCACTCAAAAGTAGTAACTATTATTAATTATTACTATTATTATACCCTTTTGAAAAGATTATATGAAGAGAGGAACATGCATTTTACCACCCTGAATAGTGCAAGGTCTGGAGACAAAATTTCTAATGCTCCAGAACTGCATTGTCAATAAAAATCTAAGAGTGAGTTTTGTTTGAACAATGCTTAGTCAAAGAGATGGATGTGGGTTAGGCTGTTAGAGCTAGGACCAAAAGAATCTAAGCCTATTTCTAGAATGTGTGTTGCTTCTGTTGGTTTTAAAAAGAGACTAGTGAATGGTCTTGTAGTTCTAAAGAGAGCCCAATGGATCTGATGGCCACTAGTACAGTCATAACAGTACTTTCAGCCAGTGCCTATTCTGATGGTTGTTGCATTCACTCTGCTTGGTGGCAGGTCTATTTTGATTGACTAGTACTTTACCTGGTGAAATATTTTGAATGGAATCCTGAAAATGCATGTGCCATCAGTTCAAAAGATATCCATTTCTTTGTTAAAGAAACCACACTACTTTCTTTTTAAAATGATTCAGACATCCTTTGCTCTTTTCTCACCTGCATGATAAAATTGTGGGTAGCAGGCATCACTAAATGAATTCTTAGTAAAGAGTATGTAAAATGATAATGATTCAAAATCTATATCATTGAAGGACACCAATATAAACTGAAAGTTAATGTTTATATAAGAAAGAGTTACAATCAAACAGGATTCATGGGATCTTTGTTTAGTGTCTGCTGTTCTGCATCGAACTCTATAGAAGAATAATGTTTCAATGACTAACTGTGCAATTTTCTCCGAAGTTATGCAGACATTTTGATTGAGAGGGAAGTCTTGATGCAGAAGTACATTCATCTAGTCCAGATCGTAGAAACAGAAAAAATTGCAGCTAACCAACTCCGACATCAACTTGAAGATCAAGATACTGAAATCGAAAGGCTTAAATCAGAGGTATTTTCCAGTCAAAGACTCCTTCTCATTGTTTCCCATCTACTGTCATCTCCTCATGAACATCTACAGCATATTCAGGGCAAAATATTCACCCCAGGCTGACTTCCTTTGCCATCAGCAGTGTGGCTGGGCTACTGATCTAGACATGAATCTGTAAGTATTAGGTAAATGTGCTACAGGGACATATCAGGATAATATGCTGTTTTTTGATTATTTGTGCTCCTGATATCCTTCATTAGATCAGAACTTCAAGAGCTGCCCATAGCATTTAACTGTCATCCTCAGATTGGCTTTTGGAATAATAACTGTGAATCTGTCATGGAGTTAATTAAAGTCCATCTGAGAAAGAACCAGAAATTAATTCAGAGATACATTTCTGTTTCAAGATCAAAGAAATCCAAACTTTTCCCCTCCAGAATTTTGAAAAGCCCATTTCAGTGAAGCTGTAAGACACTGACTGGCTAAGGTGCATTTCCCCCTGAAGTTGGGTTCCTGCCTCTCCTGGCCTTTCCTTTCAGAGTGTGTCTTTCTCAGGCCCTGCACCACCAGAGAAGGTGGTTGAAACCTAGGGAGAGCAGAAGGTGTTGGTAGAGGCCACAGCCATGGCGTTGTGCCTCCCTCTGTCCTGGGTCTCAGTCTATGTAGAGAAGCCTGACTGTACTCCTTGCCATCCTGTGGGTCCTCGTGGGAAGTGAACAATAACTGAGGAAGAGAAGGGGAATGTACACAGTGAGATTTTCATCCTCATTCTAAGCAGAGATACATTAGTATCTTCTTAGATTCCAAGAAGGGAACAGGACAGCGGGAAACCTACTACTGATTGTATCCTTGTTGATAGACAGTTCAGGTGCCTTGACCTTGGCAACACTCTTGTCATTTTTACTGTCATCAGACAATAGTTTTCTCTTTTTTCTTCCCACCTTCCCCTGAGACTTACCCTAAATCCTGTGAGGGGTTTTCATCTCCTGCCCCCTGGGTACATGGCCTTCAGTGTGCAGAGCAGACAATCTGATTCCAACTGAAATGGGGTAGTTTCTTGAGATGATACGGTGTTCACCATATCATTAGAATTGTCAGCTTCCCAATCCGACCCTGATATCTGATACAGTGAAAACAGCAACAGAAAACTTAACAAACCTGCATTTTAAAAGACTATATCAGGCACTATAATTTAAAACAAAATTATTGTGTTCTTTCTTTTACCAGAGTAAGCTAGAGCAGATGCTGCTTGTCTGCTAAGTGAAGGAGGTTGGTATTTACTCCATGAGAGAAACTCAGCACAAGGGATGTTCCCCGATATTTATTTATGTGTGCTTGTCTGTCTTCACTATGTTCTATTTTAGTCTGAATATAGATTGCAGCTAAAAACTGTCAGTAGCAGGTATGTCTTCTGTGGCTGCTTGACAGGAACCATAATTTATTTTCTACTCCTTTTATTTTCCGACTTCCCTGCCAGAAAATGGCAGAGGAATATATTTGGTATTGGAGACAAAGACAGATCAGAGGTAGCAATCTTCTACATGCTTTCTTGTTAATAAGTCTGTATATATTCTTTGCATGTAAGAGTCCACAGTTGATGGGTAGTCCAGTGTATTTTATTGCTAGGCATAGTTGAAAGGCCTCTTGGTCATAGTTACAGAACTGAGCTGGAGATTCGTGGAGAGATCCCAGGTTGTTTCAATCCCTTTTGTGTTTTCTGAGGAATTTTCTTGACTGTCTTAGACCAACTCCAGGCCTCTGAGGTTCCCTTTTTACTTACCATTTTCCAAAGAGGGCTGTGAGTCTGCTGTATCATGTGCATTTGGAGGGACACAGGATGATTATGGGAAATGAGCTTTGAGTGTAGTGACCCTGCATTTGGGGAGCACAATGCACCAGGGGCAGCTGTCTTCAGGCAGAGAGGACAACAGGCACTGAGGTCCCAGGAGGCCTTGGTCTGGTCAGGGAGGGCCAAGTTCTGGGCTAACATGTCTTCAAACACAGACCCTAGTTCACACTTTACATATTCACTTTTGTTAGTAACACCAGGCTAGAGGTAAAATTCATACTTCCCTGCCTCAGCTCCAGAGAAATAAAGGGTGCAAAAAAGCAGACATTCCCTGAATATCTCAGTGAACCACCTTTGTAGGCAGAACATCCTGTGGGTTATGGCTGTGCTCCACTGTTTCCCAAATCATAAAATGGACTAATTTTGTGTTATAGATTATTGCTCTTAATAAAACCAAGGAACGAATGCGCCCTTACCAAAGCAACCAAGAAGATGAGGATCCAGACATCAAGAAGATTAAAAAGGTAGGGCATTGGAGGCTTCTGGCTCTGTGGGAGCATGGCCACCACTGTATATCCTGTGGTGGTATCTTTGTTACTGTGTTCCTGAACTTGGAACAGCTTTCGTGTTTCTATGTTAATGACACCCAGAATGCCCTTCAGAATGGTCCAATTTTGGCTGCTCTGGAGAATTTCAGTGTGCCATTTCTTTCCAGTACTGAGAATCCTATTTTGGACTCTCTGGGAGGGATGCCAAAACTGGACATTAAGAGAATAGTGTTCTCCAGTTGGGTTAATTAAGTGCTATTGAAACTCCTGATTTTGTGCCTCTTGCATATTTGGTGGAATTTTTAAAAATTACATTTCAAAAATATTTCTCTTAACATCGATCCTTAGTGCTTATTTAGGATTTCTTTTATATTTGAGAATGTAAAATAAATCAATACATCTGCTCAGATTTGTCTTACAGTTGTCTCTTGTTGAATATCCACATAAGCAACAGACCTTTCCATCTTACTGTCATTTGTAATTGCACAACTTTTGCGAGGAGCCAGATACTGGCGCACATTCTAGTCCACTGTATTTCGATTTATATCATTTGGGCTTTGATTCCATGGTCTTAACTGACCTGGGTAAAACACTCAGCTTTGTTAATATCAGGTATGAAGCTTCCTATTTAAAGCTCTTTTCCTGGAATGCATTTTGAATCTTAATTTTTTTCTTACTCATATTTTTCTATATTAAATAATTATTTCCTTTTAGCTGTAACAAAATCTTAACCAAGAATTGCTCAGAATTTGGAATAGAAATGATTCTTTGGGCTAGATGAGAGTTTTCGGTTTTCAAGAAATAAAAAAGTGAAATAACACCATTCCTTTCTTAGAATTTAAACCTCTTTCTTTTTAATCTGGTTTGTTATTCTGTTCCAAGATTAATTCTGTTGCTTTTCTTTTAATAGTATGCAGTTGCATGTAAATAAAGCTATTAATAAAATCTCATTTCAGTTTTCTTGTAGAAGCAGGTCTATTGGTAAGTAACAGATCTAGCTGTTTTTCAGCAGAGAACACCTGTCCAAGTAAATAAGACTTTATTTAACACAAAACTCAATTAAGTTGATTTTTGAAAATATATATAATACATGGAAGAATAATGATAAAACACTTTTTTTTTACATTTTCTATCTTCCTGATTATTATTATTTGGGGGGGGGGCTGTACTAGGGCTTCATATATTCTAGGCCAGTGTTCTACCACTGAGCTACATCTTTAGCCCTGATTCTTAATTGTAGTAATTTTTAAACCTATTTGTGAACTTGTAAAATGTTTGAAATTAACTTCATGTCCTTTATGTTCCAAATGAAACTAATGTCTGTGGAAATGAATGTTTACAAATTAATTGCATCTCTATGCTTGACAAAATGTAATATTTATTTGTTTGTTTGTTTATTTTACTTCAAGAGACCACAACTTGAAGAGGAAATACTGGGAAATGATATTGGCCAAATTATACTGTTATATTGTATGCATGTATGAATACGTAACAATGAATCACAGCATTTTGCACAACTATAATGCACCAATTTTTTTAAAAATGGGGAAAAGTGACCACAACTTGAATTGGTTATAATTCACAGAAATTTTCCACTAGATTTCCCCAGATATATGCAATAGCTGCTTCATACAATTCTATTAAAATGTTCTTAAGTCGGGCGTGGTAGCACATGCCTATAATCCCAGCGGCTTGGGAGGCTGAGGATCAGGAGTTCAAAGCCAGCCTCAGCAACTTAATGAGGTCCTAAGCAACTCAGTTTTAGAGGCTAGCAAGCTTCTACAAAGTACATGTTTTTTTTTTTTAAATCACAATTTAAACATTTTATATATATATATATATATATATATATATATATATATATTTCGTTATTATTAAAAATAGACATTCCATTAATGATTCGATTAATTTCTTTCTTGAAGTGTTATTAGCTCATATGTAATATTATATTTCCAGAGTCCACATAGATAGGTCTATGGAGCTTCAGCTATGGAAGAAACTTTTGAACCTGAGAAAAATGATATTTATAATCCATTGTCCTCCTATTGGAGAAATTCTGCAGTTATTTATTCTACTGGAGGTGCCACTGGGGTGCCAATGAGAGCAACGTTCTACATGACACAGGATGGACATGGCCAGCCTAGAAAGCCAGGCTCGCGTCTCCCTGAGGTTCCTTTTTGTCTTTTTGTTTTGCAGGTTCAGAGCTTCATGCGAGGGTGGTTGTGCAGAAGGAAATGGAAGACCATCGTGCAAGACTACATTTGTTCTCCTCATGCTGAGAGTATGAGGAAGAGAAACCAGATCGTTTTCACCATGGTGGAGGCCGAGTCTGAGTACGTGCACCAGCTCTACATCCTGGTCAATGGCTTCCTGCGGCCCCTGCGGATGGCCGCCAGCTCCAAGAAGCCGCCCATCAGCCACGACGACGTCAGCAGTATTTTTCTCAACAGGTTTGTCTTTGCATAAATCTGAGAGTCGTGAGAAGAACCTGCTGATAGCTCATGAAACAATCTGTGCCTTGCTTTAAAAGCAAGATCTCAAAAACTAATCCCTATGATGTTAAAAATAAGAAAGCTATCATTGCATTCATTAGTCCAAATTAGCACATCTTTGGAATCTTGGCATCTCGTTTTCTCAGTTTTCTTCTTTGACATACATTTTCTTGTCATTATGTGTGTGTGGGGTGAGGGTGTTGAAAAGAATCCCCCTTGCAACTGAGGGGAACAAACTGATTAATAGGTCTTTACGTGCAGTTTACACAAGATATTTTAGGAAGAGTGAAAACTAAGAACCCTTGTTGAATTTATTTGCTCAACAAATATTTATAGTGTTCTTATTGCTGAGGATTAATTAGTGAATAAAGTAGAAAATCCCTGCTTTCACTGAACTTAAATTTTGACATGAGAAGAAAGACAATGAATAGTGACTAAATAAAACATATAGTAGTAAATTGTATGGTGGTCAGTACCAGGAGAAAAATTAAAAGGGATAGGAGAGGAGGGGGGAAAGGAGTGGTTGGGTATTTTACTTAAATTTTAATGGCTTATTTGTTTTTGAGTAGATAACACACTCACATGATGCAAACATCAAAATAACATGAAAAAAAATCAGAGTTTCCCTCTTATCCTGTCTCTGTTCACCCCATTCTGCCCAATTTCTGTATCTATTTTTATTAGTTTCTTATAGCCTTTTATAGTTTCTTGATTTGGATGTAAGCAGATATAAATATACTATCTTATCTCCCTCCTTCTACACAAAAGACAGTGATGGATCACAGAAGAGAAAGGAGCACTAATCCCTTTAGAAGTTAGGAAGATGAGAGAGAGAGTAGCAAAGAAGAGAAAAGAGGATCACTTAGCAGCAAGAGAGAATGAACAACTATGACAGAAAGGTCAAAGAAAACAACTGAGAACTGACCGTGGATATAACAACTTGGAGCTGAGGGTAGCTTTGATGAAGTGCGGGAGCCTGATTAGGGGGCCTTAGGAGAGAGTGGCATAGGGCATAGGAATTACAGAGGGTGGGTATAGAAAATTCTTTCAAGGCAGTTTGCTATAAATAGGAGCAGAGAAATAGGGTAGTACCTAGAGGTAATAAAGAGGGGGAAATGATGCAGGAAAGAGAGGGGAGGATTGCTGGAGCAGCAAGCTTATACGGGCAAAACTGTAGAGAACGAGATACACAAGCAGAGAGACTGGCATTAATGGGAACATGAGCAGGGAGGGAATAAAGAAGGGAAGAGGACAAAGACATGTAACTAGGAAGTAAGGATATCAGCTGGCAGAGGGAGAGGAAATGTCATAGTTGGATGAGATAGGAGAAGATGTGAATAGTGGTCAAGTAGAGCAGGGAGTCGGTGGATCAGGGAGCTGTAGTGCAGTTGCTGGGAAGCACTATGAGCCCATGTGAGTTTATTAGGCTCGTGGTGGTAACTGAGACCAGTCTGTATAGTTGCATGTTTTTCTTTAGCTACTTTTAGTTGCGTGGATGCAGGTGCAGGTGGGTGGAGGGTTGATGTTAGGGGTTGGTGTTGTGCAAGGCTAATCTGATATATTGAGAATAGTACAACCGAATTCAAAGTGTCTGCAAAGAAGAGCTATAAGGACCCGTGGAATCTAAAGTTTGTAGAAAGGTATTTTGGTCAATGCAAAGGTGGTCAGACCTGTGAACTTAAGTCCTGTCTGTGTGAAAGGCTTTTTGGAGTCAAGAGTCTTAAAGACAGCAGACTGAAACAATAGGAGGTGGTCATAGAACTGAGATAGGAATAGGATGCAGTTATTAACAGTGACAAAGTCTAGAGTATAGTCATTGGGGGCATTGACTGGTGTCAGCTGGGATCGAGATGTTTGGAGAGGGGGTTCAAAGACCTGAGAGGCCCGGATATTGAAATGTGGTTTGTGTGCAGAGTGGAATCACCAAAAACTATGAGAGGAGTTGTGTTGGAGAAAGTGAGCTGGTGGCTAAGATCTCCAGAAGGTAGGAAGAATGACTAGGACTGTGTGGATGGCTGCAGAAAGGAAGGCTGAGGAGTGGCACATGATCACATTAATAACAATAACAATAATAACATTAATTACAACCAATAACAATAACTTTTAATTTTTTAAAGTTTTAATTAAATTAAAAAGTAAAAAAAAAATTAAAGAATTTTTGTTGAAAGGAAGGAGGGACATTTCCTCACGTTGAGTGGCAATGTCCACAGCTCTACTCAAGTATGTCAGCTATCCCAAAGGGCCTGAGTGGTAGCTCTTGATCACTGGGAAGTACAGCTAGCATTTTGATGATATGTCAGTCACCCAAGAATGCCGTTTTAACAGTTCTGATGGCTGTGGATGGGATGGAAAAACCACACTGCCTGATAATGATGCTATTAGAGTCTGTGCCATGTTGATTTTGGGTTGCACCTAGTGGTTTGTATCCATTGGTTTGCTTCATCAGAAACATGAAAGGCTAGGTATAGCATATTGTTTAATTTCAGAATTGAGATATTGTGCCTCTTTTGGGGAGGTGATGCAAAAAAGCTTTTCCTATAGATGTAATGGTTTACCATACCTAGTCTTAGATAGATTTGAAGAGATATGTTTTAAAGGTGAGACTTAGGGTGTTTCTTGTCGTTAACTGTTGTTTAACTAGATTCCCTTTCCTTGCCTTTGAAATTGAAGCCCCAGGCAAGTCAGTTGTTTTAGATTTCAACGCAGAGTTTATACTTAAGAAAATGTAATCTGCCTAATTCTATACAGCACTGTTTCATCTGTCTTCTAAACATCCAGGTATCAAAATATGAAGCTGGATGTATCAGTTTTCAAGGTAAGATAGAGCAATACCTCCCGATAGAGGGAATTCTCTGCTTATAGACTTGGAAGGGCTGGAGGAGTAAAGCTGCCCCTGGAGTATTGAATTTAAGGGCAGAGCACCATAGGTGTGACCCAGAGCTTAGGAAACTAATGCCATGACCACTACCACCATAACAGACCTATGAAACTGTTCCTAGAAATGAAAATACAACAGGAATGTGGTCTCCTTCAGTCTTCCATGTCTTGCCAAGTGCATGCATGGGTGGAAATGCAATTACATCCAGAGCATAGATTCAAGGAAATCTGGGAAATGCAGTTTTAGCTTGCCATTCTCTCTGCCTAGAATGAGAGTAGAATGCTGATTGAAAGACAGTCTATAGTATGGACTTGCCAACTAGATGTGGTTAGAAATCCTTAGATAATAAAAGGATTCATTGAAATTTCTATAAAACAACAACAAAGTCATAATCTTCAAGCTGTATTCATTTTAGTTATGGAAATAGTAAGAACTTTTTTCTTGAGGTTTGTTGTAATAAATTTTGATACAAATCAAGGTATCTCATTGAGATAAATAATTCTGTATTTAATTGTACCAATGTGTTAGTTGAGAAAAGCTGTCATTCAAAGGCTCATTGCAGTGGGTTAATTCTAATGAGGAGAAAGAAAAAGATATTTTGACTTTGGTGCTTACCCTTCTTGGCCGTAGTAGGAATTTAGATCCCTAATTTATGCATAGTCCTCATTTTAGTATCTGTGTGCATTTCTTTTCAGAAGAATTTTACATTTCTGTATTGAGTAACTTAGGAATGGTTAGAGTCCTGTCAAATTTTTCACTGTGTTTTTTTTTGCCCTCTACCTCCTTCTATAAAAACTCATTTTTGTGAGAGAAACCTTTTCTTGAGTTTTCTAGAATCAAATACAAAAAGAAAAAGGATCATAATTTTAATTTTATGATTATCAGTTGAAGTGCTGCATTCTAACAGCAGAAAGCTCACTTAAAAATGATGAAGAGGGTCATAAGACAGTGATTTGGTTCTCCAATATTGGAAGCATAGCTCAGTTTTCTTTCAGTTTTTGAGGTTATCTAAAAGAGAAATGCCTTTGTAGAGGCTAGTGTAGTCCACATTATTATTGGGTGCACCGTTTGGTGGTCCTGTGAGACTGGTACATCATATATATAACAGACACTCTATAGTGACTAAATTGTATGATCTTCCTGTTTTTTCATAGTGAAACCATCATGTTTCTTCATGAAATATTTCACCAAGGACTAAAGGCAAGGATTGCAAACTGGCCTACTTTAATTTTAGGTAAGTGCATTCATTATTTTCTCATGGAATGGCAACAGTTAGAGTATAATAACTTGTATGTCATTTGGCCTTAGCCGTCTGAATGTCCCTGTTGACATTGGGTTTCCTTAGCCACCGGGAGTCCATGTCATTGCACTTTAGGTTCTTTGGGCCCTGCCTTAGCAGTTAGCTTTTGACTCTTTCCCTTTGTCATAGGTAATTTGGGGCTGGAGTCACTGTCTGTCTCTGATACTTTCTATCTAACACAGATAGGTTATTCAGGCATGAGGACTAGGGCCCTATGTTGTGTGATGCCTGGTGCTGGGAGCCCATCCTTGCTCTTCCTGTTGAGTGTAGATAATTTACCAGGCACCAAGGGAAACAGCATGTTTACTTCTCTTTTCCAGCTGATCTGTTTGATATTTTGCTCCCCATGCTGAACATTTATCAAGAATTTGTGCGAAATCACCAGTACAGCCTCCAAGTCCTTGCCAACTGTAAGCAAAACAGAGATTTTGACAAACTCTTAAAACAATATGAAGCCAACCCTGCCTGTGAGGGAAGGATGCTGGAAACGTTCTTGACCTATCCAATGTTTCAGGTAAATTGCTTGGGATGCGTTCTATAAGCCATTGTAACTGATGCCTACTGTGATCAGCACAAGGCATGTAAATACATATAAGTATAAATGAAGAGTTATGCATCATCTGACATTGTCTTAAGCCTGGCCCTGAAACAAACACGTCTTCTGTCTAGAGTATAAGAATCCAGGCATTCTTGGTGATTTGAAATTAATGATTAACTAATTAATTTTGCAGTGCTGGGGATCGAACCCAGTGCCTCTTAAATACTAGGCAAGTGCTCTACCACTAAGCTACATCCCCAGACCAGAAAGTAGGCATTTTTGAAGCAAATAATTCAGGAATGAATTTTTTGAAGAGCAGCACAATTTTCTCTTTATAGAAAGATTCCACACAGACTTCTTTCATTGGAGTCTCCTCCTCCAGCATGTTTAAAAATATTATTAGGTTTACAGAAATAGGATTCTGTGCAAATGTTCCAGTTTGTGCTGGTTGCATAAACGTTTCTTGGGACTGCTCTGACTGGGAGAAGAAGGCCCCTGTTTGTGGCCCATCCCCCCACCTTGTCTTGGTTGCCATTGAGTTTCCTTTGGCTGCGGCTCTGGGGAAGGAAAGGAGGACCCCCTGGTTAGAGAGGCTCTGGAGACTTCAGAACCAGAGGCCCTCACTCAGATGGCCTTGTAGAGTCGTGGCTCTGACCTGAGATTCATTTTTGGGGTCTAGAGCAAACCAAGGGATCAAGGCCACTTGGGTCTTTCCTGTGTCTGGGGTTTTGCCATTAAGAGCTCTGGAGTGAGAATGGCAGAGGCCAAAATGTGTATTGAATCTCCTGTTCTTTTGAAAACTGTCAATTCTGTTCTTTTGGAAAGGCATTGAGTGTTCCCATTGTGGAATTTATGGGGCTTCTGGTGAGTCCTCCAAATTGTCATGTGGCAAACCGATTCTACTAATCATGTGTGTTATGGTTACTGTGGGAGTTTTGTCCTCCTGAGCAGGTGGCTCTGACCCAAGGCCCATCATTTCTTAGCCTAAGAAAGAAATGTTACTGTGGTTCTTAATTGTTTATCTTTAAGTTTGTTAGTACTGCTTGAATTCCTGGAAGTTGCCACAGAAATTTAGTAAGATTTTTTTTAAAACCAGAAAGATGCATTTGAAACCACTTAAGTATAGTGAAATTTTATAATGTTATTTTTGGTTTTTTTATGGAACGAAATTGTTTGAACTCTTTGCCTCTCTGAGGAAATATTTCACAAGAAAAATTTTGAACTTCTATTTCATTACATTCATAATTGGAATTTTAGGTTTTATTCACAGTGAAACATTTTCATATAATGTATAATTCTTCTAACCTGTGATTTTATTTGAATTTTGAATTTGGGGCATTAACCTCTAGTTGTAATTCAATATTCCAAATTTTATCTATTCAACTGTCCCAAGGTGACTGTGCAAAGGTAGAGTTATGACAGGTACACGGGACATTCAGAGAGGGACTTAGTTTCCTTCTCACAGCCCACTGAAGTTTTTCTACATGTTATTGCATTTGCTCTTGATTCTTTCAGTGTTTTAAAGTAGCAGAACTGCACCTGCCCTGGAGATGGGGTGCCCAAGTACAGTTGAATGTGGGGACCTTGGAAAGATCTTTGGGTTTCTTTAAAAAGTGGAGACATTCTCTTCTACTAGATTTTAAAACCAACAGCAATATTTTGATTGATCATAAGCAATCCCCATTATGTCAGAAAAAGGACATTAGGTTGGGGAATCTCAAGGAGACCTGACATCTCACTCACCCTTTGGTCCTTGCTTTGGGGAAAATAATTGAAAAAACCTTAATCTCAAAGCATACACAGCTGAGCTTTAGTTATCTCAGAGCACTCTAGCTCTCTGGCTCTTCAATCCCAGGGGGGCTTTGCTGGTTCTGACAGTTTGGGTGGGGTAACCGTGTAGTTACCGAAGGGAGCCTGGTGTAGTTTAGGAACCCACCCCCAGACTGTGGTGATCCCCAAGCCCTAGAATCATTAGTTGTAGGCTCAGATATTGAGGTTCTCTGGCTTGTTCCAGGGTTCCAGGGTTACAGCTTGTAAGAGCATTTGCTCTGGGAGAAGCTTCAAGCATGAGGGATTTAGTCAGACTCAATTCAGCCGCAAGAAAAAGACAGGGGCTGCGGTTGTGACTCAGTGGTGGAGCGCTTGCCTAGCATGTGAGGCACCACATAAAACTAAATAAATTAAAACAAAGGCATTGTGTCCACCTACAACTAAAAAAAAAAAAAAGAAAGAAATGAGCAAATTGAAAGTGCACTGAATTGTCTTTATTTGCTTCTTCGTAAGTATTTTGAATGTACCCAGAGGAGAAATCATCAAAGTTTGCTTCCTGAGGGCTTGTGCCCCTTGTGTCTCTCATCTGTCTTCTTTACTTAGTGTTTTTCCCTGTTGCCTCTTCCAAAAAGAAGCCATATGAACCAACTGGGGCGCTAGAAATTTGAAACTGCTTTCTTACTGGGTTCATTCTATCTTTCTTGTTCCCTTGTGGACCTTTCACTAATGAGGTGAAATAGCCATGAAGGTGTTGCTAACTCAGAGGGGTCTCCCCTCTGTGTACATTGAATTAGCAGTAGTACTTCTGCCTTACTCCCTCATAGGGCTGGACATCTTAGGATGAAGCTAGGGTACTATCCAATTTTAGCTGTAGGGAAACAATGGTAGAGGTGACCCAGATTTATACTGTGGGGGGGGGGCGGCTCTGGCCTAAGATTTTTCTTGAGCCTAGATATGGGGGCAGAAGGAAGGGGAGAGGTAATTGTAAGCTTTTAGTCCATGTACCTCTAGAAAAGAAAGGGTGATTTATATTCTACATCCTTCTGTGCCTTTTGTTAAGTAAATTAGTTATTGCTGTTAATTGAGTCATATTGAACTATGGAAACAGGGAGGAATTGTAGAATTTGGATGGTGCTGTGAGATTATTCCCAACTGAACTGTCAGACCAGTAAGTTCAAGTATTGCCAAGGAATTTGTTATGGAAAATAATATAGTCATTAACGTGATTTTTATTTAGCCAAATCAGTGGCTTGACTGGTATTTAGATTGGCCTCAGCAGATCACGAAATCTGCTCCTGGTGAGAAGAGCACTGTTAGATGTTCTCTGGAAGGTAGTCACTTGCTGCTCTATCTAGTGATTTACTGAAGAGCGAGCTAATTAATGTCAGTGAAATGACAAGTACTTGTGCCATTATTGAAAGCAGAGTTATGATTCATTTAGACAGTTACTACGATTCTTAGGTCTTCTTCTGGAGAAGCGATTTGTAATCAGCTCTCCAACACACAGACGAGCTCTTTGCAGAATCTTCTGCTCCTCAGCAAACTTCCTTTGCCTGCTTTTTGGCAGTGTTAGCCCTTCTTTGTTCCTCCACCAGAAAGTAGAAAGGGCCACTTACCAAATTCAGCTCCATCCACTTAATCTTAGCCAGGGAGCTCTTTAAAATATATTTAACTAATGGAGGAGGATCTCGAAGCTATTGACTAAACTTAGTTTTGTGGGGTTTCAGTGCATTCTAAGTAGTCAGGCTCTCCCACTCCTGCCCTTTTGTTATGAAAAATTGAGTACATTGGCATTGATTGACTTGGTTTTCTGTGGAGCTGTTAACTTTTTTGCAAACTTTTATTGATCATGGGATTGTACTAATGAAAGGGATATCTGAATGCATATTTACCCCAGAAGACTGCTGCATGTGGGACAGCCCTAAAGAAGTCTATAAATGAAGAGGCAGAAGGTCTCCTCTGTATACTCTACGGTTTCCTGTGTCCTGCCTTCCTGAGACCTAGGGGTCTATCTGTGCTTTCTGAAACTGTCACTTGATCAGCAAGTGCAGTTCAATGTTTCTGCTGATGGGCTTGATGCCAACTGTGCTAGTGCACAAAGATAGCCACTCAGAAGATGTGAGTAAATAACCCCTTAAAGCTACCCCTGCACAAGAGCAGAAGCAGATCCACAGATAGAGCCACCAGCCCCTCAGGACAGAAGAGCTGCACACAGGGCTGTGGCAAGCTGTTTTTCTGTTCTCATTTTCCAAGTTCTTTAAAGTTCTGACTGGGGCTCTGGGGCTCATGGAAGTGATCTAGTGAGAAGGCTCTGCGGGGAGCTGGTGGGTGCCCCATCAGAGCCCGGAGCATAGCTGCAACTGTCATTTACCATGAGGCTGCCTTGGGCAAGTCACCAACCTCCTCACACTTTATTTCCTTACCTGGAAAGTGGAGAATGAATCCTTATGTTGCCGGAGGACCAGACCCATATACAAAGCCCAGAGTATCCCTGAGCACAGTAGGCAGTGCTATGGGAGCCGTGGCTCATGCCACAGTCTCTGCTTTCTTTTTTCGTATCAGGGATTAAATTCAGGGGTACTGGACCCCTGAGCCACATCCCCAGACCTATTTTGTATTTTATTTAGAGACAGGGTCTCACTGGTTTGCTTAGCACCTTGCCGTTGCTGAGGCTGGCTTTGAACTCGAAATCCTCCTGTCTCAGCCTCCTGAACCTCTGGGATTACAGGCATGTGCCACTGTGCCTGGCCACAGTCTCTGCTTTCTAAAAAAAACTATTTTATAAACCAGTGAAGCATGAGTATGTCAAATTATTATAACCTGATCTCTACTCTGGTCTATAAAAACCCTCACAAGGTTGGTGGAGTTTCTGCCTTTAAGAGAATTCAAATAGCTAGTCTGTTAATAAACAAAAATACAAAGAATGATCTAATGAAACAATGCCTTTTACTGCCAAAGGGTGAATTGAGATAAAGTAGGATCAGAATGTCATAATGTTGAACATATCTTCTCTGAAGTTTTAAAAGAACTTTGCTTTAGGATTACAAACTTTAAAAAAATCATGTAAACAGACAAAAATATCTAGAATGCAAACATCAGAGACTTCAGATTATGTTTCCTATGAACCAGGTTTTGAAAACTGCTATTTGAAAATTTATGGTTTTATAAAAAATGAAAGAAATAATAGTTTCTTTGAGCTACAACACTTTATTATTTATGATGACCTTTACTTGTGAAGTTTTTTTTTTTTTTTGGTGTGTGTTTAAATTTGAAGCATGGTTTGTCTTATGTGTTTGTGTGTGTGTTTTTAACTATTTGAAAAACTGTAAGAGCAGCAATGAGTTTTTCAGTGTAATGATGGCACTGTAGAGAAAGTCCTTATGTCACCCGTCCTGACCTTGCTCACGCTGGCCTTGTTTACGTTTAGATCCCCAGGTATATCATCACACTGCATGAACTCCTGGCTCACACACCCCATGAGCATGTGGAAAGGAAGAGTCTGGAGTTTGCTAAATCAAAGCTAGAGGAGCTGTCCAGGTATGCAGAGAACTTACAGTAAAGGCCTGAGATGGGAAAGCAGCAGTTGAGTCTTCTTGTTTGAACCCAGGAACAAGAAAGCAAAACCTAAATCCAGTGGCTCAGAGTCACCTCAAAGTTTAATGCGAGCCTGTGAGATAATACTGAATCATCATTCACATTAATTTTAACCAAGGGAAAAAATATATCTTTGAAAAAGCTTTTATAGCATGTGAATTTTATGTAATTGAGATTAGGCGTAATTTGGTTTAAGTTTGGAAATGTTCCCATTTTTTTTCATTATAATAGAAAAATGACTTTCAGTTGCAGTTTTGTATTCAGATTTGATAAAAAGGTGGAGAATGTACAGTTCATTTCCTAATGGCTTGTTATGGTTATGGGCACTTATTTACACCTCTGTTTCTTTGGCTTCTCAGGGATAAATGGTATAAGGGAATTAAGAGAATTTACTGCACCTCTAGGAAATTCTACTAATTTCAATGAAGGGAGCTGTAGGTAAAATGATGTGTTGCTTTCCAGATGCATTCAAAGCCAAGTTTTCCAAGGATGCTCACGATCACTGAGCCACTTACCATTTAGAATCTTCATGCACACTGGTCTTGGTTTGGGTCACAATCTGTTGAAGCCTAGAACTTTTTGAGGCCCAGTCTTTTTGCCCCAAAGCCCCAGTTAAATCAATAGGAGTTCAAAACTGAGCTTCTCAGGTGCAGCTCTTCCTTGCTTATGTGCTAGGGAGGTCACTGCTGTCTCACTGCCATCCCTTCCATCTGTGTTGTCTGACAGGGTGATGCACGATGAAGTGAGTGACACAGAAAATATAAGGAAAAACCTTGCCATCGAAAGGATGATAGTAGAGGGCTGCGACATTTTGCTGGACACTAGCCAAACTTTCATCCGCCAAGGTAAGTCCTTGTGAAACAGGCCCATGACTTATGTCTGTCACAGTGTCACTGGCAGATCCAGGGATGCATTCTGGAGCAGGTCTGGTTTAGGTGTGTGAGTGCTGCAGTTCCCACAGGACACCCTTGTGGCCTTGACCGAGGCTGTGGTTGAGGCCCACCTCTGTGCTGTTTCTTTTCAGGGGCCATGAAACACAGCAACACAATAATAGTAAAGCACCAGTGGGACAGTAAGTTACACTCTGACTGGACTCTCCTCCTCAGTGGACCGGACATTCTCTACAGCTCCAAGGAGGACAGGTCGGTCTGGCCAATTGGAGTGGCAATGCCAGGTGGTGATGATATCCAGGCAAAGGCCCAAGAAAAACTTGAATTCCTCAAAGCCCTTTCACATAAGAGTGGGGACAATGTCCGAAGTGAAAACAGCTGTCTCTTGTTCCCATTTTTCATCAGCACTTCTGGATCAGCCCCACAGGATATAATTTGATTCAACTGGTAATTGAATTCCACTTACCAGATGGAATCTCTCCTGATCGACCCTGACCATGCTTTGGCAATGGTGAAGTTGTCCTGTATGTGGAATGTACTCTGGGGTCATCACCTGATAAATTAAGCTTTTGAAGAATTGAAGATATTTGTGCCAGACGCTGTGGAGAAGTAACAACTGGACAGTGCACACCCTCCTCAGCTCTTATTTGAAAGTGCAAGAAGTCAACCCCGTCCGTTATTTTTAAGTGCTTAGGTATTGCGGGAGGGAGCAATTGACCTAGTATCTTGCACACATTTACAGTTGTGTACTTGGTGAGGAGTGGAGCATAAATTTGGAGCTCGAATTCATTTCTGGTTTTGATGTGCCAGTATCATTTGAATAGACTTGCATTGCCTTTGCCTACCGTAATAGGCTGCTTAAAATCTTTTATTTTACCTCATCAAACTGAATATTGTGCTGTGCAGATTAATTTTCATACAGAATAGTTTAAAAGTTTAATGCATGCCATTCTATTTTCCGTTATTTATTTACAAGGAAGGAAAACACACATATGTTAAAGTCGGTAGCATATTTTGGGAAATGATTCCTTCTCCCATTTTTGGCTTTGGATACTAAGTTTTCTTTAAATAATAGTGGAATACACTGCAAAGAACATCAGGCCTTTGCAATTCCCCTTCTACTCCTTTGCACAGACTGTTCTCCGTATTGGCTGCTGCTTGCCTAGCACTTGACGTATCTGTGCCTTCATCTGTGCTGTCCCCAGCCTGGGGCCAGGAAAACCCTAATCCACCTCTTTTGTGCCTTCAAAAGTCTGCTTGTCTGACCAGGCTCAGGTCAGATATCTTTAAGGAGGCTTTTGATGTCCTCCTCCTCCTCACTCTCCAGTTACAACCACTCAGCCTCCCTCATCCTTTCCAACGCCCTATGCTGCTGGTGCATGTGTTTTGTCCTTTTGTGTCTGGGTACTGTTTGCATGCCTCTCCCAGGAATTGTAAGCTTTAAAGGGCAGCATTTACAAATTTTTCCTGCCTTGCCTTATTTCGTATGATGCTTTACAAGATAGCTACCAAGAAAATGGGTATTGAACTAAATCGAACTATTTGTTGAATTGCAATTGTGACTGTAGGATATTTTATGTTTGTCTCTTACTTGGAGACACCGAAAATGCCTACTAATTGACATGTGCTTTATAGTATGCAAGAATGGAAAAAAAAGTTTCTGTAACCAGAGGACAGTTTCTAAAAGGACTTTGGATTGAGTGATATTTCTAGAAACGTGACTGTATGGGTGTGAATTTGAAAAAGCACCGATAATAAAAAATGCTGGAAGATCTAATATGTTGACTAGGTCGTATGATTTTCCCTTGTACTTGGAGAAAAAAACCATCATGCACCACTTCTCCCTAGAAATCATGTCCATGTTATTTATTTCTTGTTATGTGCCACATATTTAAGGAACTTCTGTTAGCTATTACTATTTGTGATGTTATTATTGTATTGATGTTGACATGATGGTTTGCTTTTCAGTGGTATTTTTCTACAATTCTATCTAGTTATTCTGTTTTGAAATTATTCAATAAAGATGGCTTCTGAATATCAGTCCTTAATCTCAAAGTAGAAGGTGGTCGATTAAGACCATTTGGAAAGTGTGCACTGATTTGCTTTGGTTGCTCCTATTCTCATTTTTTTTTTCTAAATACTCTTAACAGGCTTTAAGACCCATCAGGCTGTTTCTTAGATTTTATATGCCTTAAAATTTCAAGGTATTTTATGTGAAACAGACTATAATTTATCTCTGACAGTGTGCTAGTATTTGTGTTCATTCTAGTGTGTATGTTTGCACATGTCTGTGCACACTTTGAACCTTCTATGAATTTTTATTCTAAGAAGTAGAAAAAATCAGTCATCTAGGTCCTCTGAATTTACTTTCTGAAATCTAATAATAAATTTTGTTGAATACATGTATAAATATCAGAGGCAATAAGATGAAGATGATACAGGTCAAATCTTGCCTCCCTTACTTCCTTGCTGTGTGATATTGGGCAATTTACTCTACCTTTCTTTGCCTCTGTTTCCTCTCCTTACATTGGAGTTAATGGTAGCACCTATCTTTTAGGATCATTGCTGAGATAAAATGAACTGATGTTCACAAAACCTCCTAAACTAGTGCCTGTGAGATTATGACATTCGCTTTAAATACTAAGATCCAAATTCTAGAATGAGTTTCTATTTCTGACAACATGAAATAAATATGAATATTTGTTAGAAGATAAAGGCTCTCTAAATTGACATTTTGTACAAACCCATATGCATTGTCAACATTGTTTTGTGGACATGTAAATCAGGAAAATTAAATTAAGGTGACAATACATAGTGAAATGTCTGGACACAGTGGTGCATGCCTGTAATTACAGTGGCTTGGGAGGCTGAGGCAGGAGGATCCTGAGTTCAAAGCCAGCCTTACCAATAGTGAGGCACTAAGCAACTCAATGAGATACTTTCTCTAAATCAAATACAAAACAGGGCTGAGGATGTGGCTCAGAGGCCGAGGGCCCCTGAGTTCAATCCCTAGTACCTGCCCACTCCTCCCCATACAAAATCATAGTGAAATAAGTTTTAAGAAGGAGATGTGGACCCGTCTGGCAGTTTAGTTATCCCCAAACTCTAAATTATGTGCTTTCCAAACACCAGGTTTTTTGGAATTGTAGCACAGGGTTTAGAAATAATTACATCTTCACAAGAGCCTAATCCAATAACCTGGAACTGCTCTTCATTATTTTTTTTCTTTCCACTACTGAGTGGAATGAAGACTAAGGGAATTAGCCAGTCTAGATGCCATTGCTCAGGAATTCAGTGATTGAAATCACAAAATCTCTGTTGTAAGTTGACCCCAATTAGATAGACTGATGATCAGCATGCTAAGGACTGGGTCATAGCTATGGTGTATTACTGAGGAATTTCAATTTTTTTCTCTCATTTGTATTAACAAAACAGAAATATTTTCTTTAATTCTCAGGACTATGTCAATCCTAAAATGAAATGTGAAAAAATAACCTACTTAAAATGTTGTTTTCCAAGCATTTTACTTTATACAGCAAACTGTTGAAATTTCTGTTTTTAATTCGGATGCGTAAATTTGTGTCTATACCTAATGCACATATTCCCCTGCTTGGGTATGAGGTGAATACTTACCGATTAAGCATATCAATGTATGGTTACCAAGGAAACATCTATTTTTCTACTTCAGAGCTGAAATTCACATAATTGCTAATATATGAACTAAGAGTGTGCTCTGTCATTTCTAACTTAGAAAGTCATTAAATTGCTAGAAGCATTTATCAATGAACATGTAATTACTGATTTTTCACAGACTTGGTTATAACCTTACTGAAAATGACTTCCCAGCCTCTTTGTCCACCAAGACATATGTCCAAGTCCCAGTCTTTGGCTCAGCCCTGACTGATCTCCCTGGGTGACTCCCGGCCACCAGTGGCAAAGGCAGCACCTACCATCTTTTTCCATCTCTTCCTATTACAAGTTTTAGTTTTCATGTTGTCAGATTCATCTTTTGAGTAGGCCCCTCACTTAGGAGTGACCTTAGGAGAGCTACTTAGTCTCAGGCCTCAGTCTCTGTAAAACGTGTATGTGTGTGGGGGAGGGGGTGGAGGAATGGAGTCATGTTCTCTGAAAGGCCTCCTGTGCTCTTATTCCCTCTCCCAGTGTTCCAGGAGTACAGCCCTTTTGAGGCCATTACCTGCTCATCCACTTTCCTAACCTTCCTGCCTTCTCTTCTCTCCATTGCTCCTCTACTTTTCAAATTTAATCCTTTGCTGCCTGAGCTGTCTGCAGTTTTCTCCCACCTACCTCACCTCCTCCATTCGCTTTCCTCTTGCCCAATTCTTTCACTGGAGTCAGGGCTTCTCCTCACCCTTTGATTCTCAATCCCGCTCCGTCTCCCAGAACTGGTACCTTGCTATTCTTTAGGCTCCAAATAGCTGCCTATTGTCTTCAAGGATCCCACCTAAACACCTAAATAGTTGGTGTGAGATCAGGGCATGGAAACGTAGGTCCTTTACCACCCTGTACATTGTTTCATCTCTGTTAAAAGTTAGATGCAATTTAGAATATTCATATGTGAATATGAAGATTTTGTGATTCACAACCATACTTTCATTGTATTAGGTATGTGTGTTCTTTATGTAAAGAATTTTAGTGTTTTTCCCCCCACATGTAGAAGCAATTTGAGCTCATTTAAAATATCAAGAAGCCCAGAAAAAATAAAAGAGGAAAACAAGGTTGCTTGCAATCTCCTTACAGTTAATATTTGAATATGCATCTTATTGTTCTTATGAGGCCCACATGAGCCTATGTAGGGCTGCATTTGGGGTAGGTGGTGAATTAACCAAAGAGAGAAATATGACTAGCTCAGAAGAGTTCAGAAATCAGAACCAAGGTGTTTGCAAGAATCTTGCTTGGCTTTTTGATTTAATATTTAATGTATGGACTGGAATATTTTTAGAGTGAGGGAGGTTGTTTTTAGCGTATAATCTAGAAATAATCAGAGGTAATCTCAGTATTATATAAAGTCCATGCAGAGCTTCTCACATTGAGTGGAGGAGAGCTGTGCTCACAGTAGTGTTCTGGGTGGAGATTTTTATGTGGTTTATTTTCTATTTAGATTCCACAAAGAATTTTTATCACACATAATTTAAATGCAGCTTGAAATATCTGCCCTTTAAAACATAGTCCTAAACTAAATTGTACTGAAATACCTAATTTATGTATTTTTATAATATGCATGCATTCTGTTTTTTAAAATACAAGGTAAATTATATAAATATGCTACTTATCTACCTTCAGAAATTCAGAAAGAATGATTTCTATCATATTATTATATTACCATATGTAATTATATAATTTTTGTACTATTAGTAAGAATAAATTGACTGGAATCAGATCTCCGAGAAGAGATAGTAGAAGTGCCTTGTTCTTGGAGTTCAGTTTGACCCTCTTTCCAATGTATGTTCCAGTCACAAAAGTATTAGGAACAGTTCAACCCTTAAAATACAATGCATTGTTTCTTCTTCTCGGAGTGTAGGAGACTTATTTGTTCTGATGATGCATTAAATCTAAGCTTGGTATCTTGGGAAACAGGCCCTTGTGTTTATTGCCAAGAGCATGGTCCTCACCTGACAGAATTTTAATTGCTGTGTATTCTTCACTTTTGTAATCACCAGGTTCTCTTATACAAGTACCTTCTGTTGAGCGGGGGAAACTTAGTAAAGTTCGCCTGGGTTCACTGTCTTTGAAAAAGGAAGGAGAGAGACAGTGCTTCTTATTTACAAAACACTTTTTAATTTGTACAAGAAGTTCAGGAGGAAAACTGCATCTGCTCAAGGTATGGGCTTTCTGTGACTATTCCATTTATGTTCCCAGCACTTAAGAGGTGTTGAGGTTAACTCTCTTGTGACTTTCCCATGCCTGCTATTAGCCTAAAACAGATTGTCATGACTGCATAAAGAGGGAAGTACAGTTCACAGCTCTGGCACTTACTTTGTTGACATTTGAATTCAAAGTAATAGAAATGTATTTTAGGTATGCATTATCTTAAAGAAGTAAAAAAATAAAATAAAAAACCTAGACAAAATTATTATTAGTGACTGATGAGCTACAAAAATCTGGTCAAATCATTGCAGAGCACCCACGTGATATTTGCTGACTGCTATTTTGTCTTCCTGTGGACCAGGAGTCAGCAAACCATGGCCTGCAGCTTGCTGCCTATTTTTGTGAACAGTTTTCTTGGAATACAACTCCACCTGTTTGCTTGTTTATCATCCATCTGTGGCTGCTTTCCTGCTAATACAGTAGATTTAAGTAGATGTGATAGAAATGATATGGCTTGCAAAGCTGAAAATATTTGCTATCTGGGCCTTTGTAGGAAGTTTGTCTATCTATACCTTCTGTTGTTATTACTTAAAAGTATTATTCAACACCATGATGATGGCTTTCTACTTTCTAAACCACTTACTTCATGCTGGGTGAGTTCAGCCCATTGCTGAGCTATAGTTGCTCTCTGAAGTCCCTCTGGTGCTATCTAGTCTCCCATAGATGAAGTCACTAAAGTTTATAAACACTGAGAGCAAGATTGGGGTGGAGGGGAGAATAGACTAAAATTAAATGAATTCAATTTATATGACATATCTAAGTTTAATTTTGGACTCTATGAAAAATTGTTTGATGCTTTCTTCTGCGGCAATTTGAACATAAGACTTACAAGTCACAGCTTTCCAGCCTATGCAAGACCTTCAGCCTCTGAATGACAAATCGGTTTGTTTCCAGACAGGTGGGGTCCTCTCTCTCATAGAATGTACATTGATTGAAGAGCCTGATGCAAGTGATGATGACTGTAAGTCACATTCTATTATTACTTATAATTATTTTAGGTTTTAAAAAAAAGTGTTGTGTTTGTAGATCTTCTGTGGTTTAAGAGGAACTGCCTAGGAAAGCAGAGGAGATGCTGAGGATAAACTCCCTAAAATCCTTTACCTGTTGAACCATTTAACCTGTGAGCATTTATAAACCGTCTTTCAGAACTGACATTCTATTGAAATTGACTCATGATAGTGATTCTTCAGTGGCAGGCAGAAAGAGGAGTTGAATTAAAGGGTTGGATTTCTATTCATTACGGAAATTAAACATGAAATAAGGAGTCTGGGACCCTAGTCTTGAGTAACCTGCTGCCCTCAGCTATCTCATGTGCATATTAGCTTCATGAGGCCTTCCCCATGCCTAGGAAGCAATGTTTTTGCTGAAATGAAATTTGGGCCCTGAATGCACATGGATCATATTAAATTCAATTGTATAAAAGCAGCTATTGCTCATAGTTTGTATTCATTTCTAATTGTTTGATTTCCACATGTTGAAGCCAAGGGTTCTGGGCACATGTTTGGACACCTGGATTTTAAGATAGTGGTGGAGCCTCCTGATGCTGCCTCTTTCACTGTGGTCTTATTAGCACCTTCGCGCCAGGAGAAAGCTGCCTGGATGAGTGACATCAGTCAGGTAAATAAGTGGCTTTTGCTATGATTTCTTTTTTAAAATTTCATAACATATACACTTGATGAGTATTCTAAGAATTACTTTATTTTTATTAAAAATTGACCTGGGGGGCTAGATTCATGGCTCAGTGGTAGAGCACTTGCCTGGCATGTGTGAGGCCCTGGGTTCCATCCTCATATAAATAAACAAAAAGATTCATTGACAACTAAAAAAAAAAATACTAAAAAAAAAAAAAAATTGACCTGCAGCTGCTATGCTCAGTATTGCCACAACTATGTATCTTGATAGGCTGTTGGTGTCTTTTCTTTTCTTTTCTTCTTCTTAAAGTTTACATTTACTTGAAATGTGGTAATTGCATTTTAGTTCCTGGGTATTTTGTAGCATCTGCAAATATAACCACTGCAATGAAGAGTGTTGAAGTTATCCTGTTAGTAATAAATTCTCCAATGTCGTGCTTATTTGTTTCTGATGTAAGAAAATGGTGAGAAGTACAAAAACAGCCAACAAGGGCTGAGGTGAGAAATCACAATCCAGAATCAAAAGACACACTGTAGTATGAAATTGGAAAATGAGCTCCTGTATTTCATGTAGGAAAATTAGGGAGCAAAATCACTTACCTTTCTTACCTCAGCTAGACCCTGTGAGAGTATTGCAGTGTTTATTTAGGCAATGATATCCTTTGGAAATATTTCAAAACTGGTCATGATTGGATTCCCAAACTCAAGCTCCACTTGAATTTTAGCTCTGTTTGCTAATATGGGGTAAGGGGAGTGATTTTTGTGTGAGGAAAGTCCTAAATTCAAGCTTGAACATGGTGAGTACCTGTAGTCCCAGCTACAGGGAGGCTGAGGCAGGAGGATTGTTTGAGCCTGGGAGTTTGCACTCAGCCCACAAAAAAAAGTGAGATTCTGTCTCTCCAAAATAATAAAGGCTTGAGTTAATTCTCAAAGTTGTTAAGACAACTGAGGCAAATGGAAAAGCCATTGTAGGTTTCATAATCTTCTTTTTTCTAAAGAGCTCTAATAATTTATATATAAAACTGAGGTGGAGATGCACTGTATCATAGTTTTTCAGCCACCTAATTAAAAAAAATTCTTTGGGATGCATTATAATTATTCATAATACTGGGATTTGTTACTGCATATTAACACATTCACAAAATGTAGCAATATAATTCGGCCAACTGTGTTTTGTAGTACTTACCCTTTCCTTTCTCTCTTCCCTCCCCTGTCCCCTGCCTTTACTTCATTGGCCTCTCTTCTATTTTTATGATATGTCTCCCTTGCCACCCATCCATTTCTTCCCTTTTTCTCTCTAGTGTCCACATGTAAAAGAAAACATATGACCCTGATTTTCTGAATTTGATTTATTTTGCTTAATATGATGTTCTCAAGTTTCATCCATTTTCTTGAAAATGACACAATTTCATTCTTCTTTATGGCTAAGTAAAACTGTATTGTATATAAATATGTATATATATATATATATACACATATATATGTATAGATAAAGAAAATGTAATATCCATTCATCCATTGATTGACACCCAGGCTGGTTCCATAACTTTGCCTACTGTGAATTGTGCTGCTATTAACATGGGTATGCAGGAATTGCTATAGTAGGCTGACTTTAATGCTTCAGGCTAAATACTGAGGAGCGGTATAGTTGGGTCATATGGTTGTTTCATTTTTCTGAATGATTGAAAACTGAAGGAGAAATAGAAAACCAATTACAATAATTATTTGTATTTTTAAAGAAATTTTATAGTCCTATTCTCATTTTACCCTCACTATGGAAGTCAGAAGACAAACAGAAAATTATTAGTCCCACTTCACAAATGAGAAACCTGAGGTTTAGAAAGCTAAATTGTCAAAGTTATACAATTGCATTGAGATAGAACTCGAATTTAACCTAGATCTTCTTTTTAGTACTTTAAACATCCTGTGTAAGGATTTCTTGTGTGGAATTTTTACCTGATAACCCTATGACTGCTTTGATGGTGAATAAATAGAACTAATTTCTTTTCTGGCTGACAAAAGAATGAAATATGGGATATTTCACAATTTTTCATGCCTAATTACATCCTTCTGATAATTTATTATTCCTTTCATTAGTTCTATGCTGCATCAATTAATAGTTCATTAAGTCTCTCCATATTTGTGATGCATCTCTTACCTAATGAGACTCTGGATCATTCATTGATTTAAAGAAAGATACTCAAAGTTTTACCTGCCTCAAGTATCCAGATGAGTCCTTCTTTCTACTTAGAGGAAGAAGTATTCAATTTCTTCCTTATTTCTCCAAGTTGCTATGGCCAAAATGTTGCCTAGCCAAAAAAAAAAAAAAAAAAATTAAAAGCCACATTTTATCTGCAGTCGACAGAAACTAGCAGAACGTTGTATCTTTTTGATTGACAGTGATATCACTCCATGAAATTTCTATCTTCACAGAGCCTTGACATTATGTGGCTTTGATTCTTGTGTTTTTTTTTCTTTTTCATTTAACAAATGTATTTATGCAGTGATATGATGTGCCAGGTACTATCTGAATACTTGTGATGTATCGTGAGCAAAACAACAGAAAATTCCCTGACCTTGTGTAGCTTACAGTCTAGTGTGGGGAAGACCAAACAAGTAGACAATAAATGTAGTAAATGAGTACACACAGTTAGTGATAGGTAGGTAAGGATTGGGTTACTGTAGGTAGTGTGGCTTGATACGGTTCTAACATGGTACACTATTGCCTATTGTGAGGCATGTAAATTCCGTGAACATATTTGTAAAGACATGCAAGCCAAGAATATAGTAGGTGTTGGGGATACCATGTGGACACATATGAATGACTTTTCTGGAAAGTCGTTCCAAAAAAACAGAAGCAGTGATTTCAAAGAGCTGAAAGCTGAAGAATGACATATTTTGAGGGATACTTGAGAGCCAGCTTGGCTGAATTGGAGTGATGAGAGGGAGAATAGAAATAGTCAAAGAGGTAGCAGGAGCTAGATCATGATAGCTTCTATGCCAGTGAATAGGCTTTTGCTTCTACTCTGAGTCAGTGAAAGCTATCAAGGAGTGGAAGCATTCCATGATCTGACAGGTTTTTTTGGGGGGGTGGTACTGCGAATTCAGGGATGTTCTACCATTGAACTATACCTTTATCCCTTATTTCACTAAGTCGCTGAGGCCAACCTCAAACCTGCAAACCTCCTCCTCAGCCTTCCGAATGTTTGGGATTACAGGAGTGCAGCCACCATGCCTGGCCTGGCCTGATTTAGATTTTGAAAGGACTACTTTAACTGACTGCCGTGGTGATTGTAGCCTTGAGGGATGGGAGCAAGATTAGAAGCAGGGGGCAGTCATCCAGAGAGAGATTTGAAAGCTCAGACCAGCATGGCAGGAGTGCAGCTGTAAAGACATGGAAGGGTTCTGGTTCTAGTTTCACTTTGAAGGTAGAACCGGCAGGATTTTACTAGCATTAGATATAGGACATGAGAGAGAAAGAAGAGTCCAGGATGACACCAGAGTTTTTGGACTGAGCAACTGCAAGACTGAAATTTTCATTAACCAAGATGGGAAAGTCTGCTGGGGAATGAGATTTTGGGATGAAAATCAGTTTATTTTTGGATATGTTGAGTCTGAGAAGTCTATTAGACAATCAAACTGAGTTTTAAATAAGTGGTGCAACATAGAAGCTAGTGTTTAGGGGAGTGGTCCAAGTGGGCGACTTTTCATCATTCATGTGGTATTTAAAACTGTGAGACGAGATCACTAAGGAAGGAAGTGTAGGTAGAAATGAGAAGAGGACCAGGAACTGAAAGACAGGTCAGGAAGAACAGCAGATGGAACCTATCCTACTCCAGGATAGTAGGAGGACAGCCAGGAAGGGGTGTTGTCATGGAATCCAAGGGAAGACAACTTGTTGAGAAAGGAGAGGCCACATATTAATTGCTGCTAAAGGCTAGGTAGGGTGGCCAATGTTCTGGGACACTTGTGTTTTGCTGGTGAGGGGTTTGAATGGTGGGTGGTAGGGACAGAATGTTCTGCTATTGACTGAGCCCAGCTTGCTGCCCAGAGGCCTGCCTCTCAGCTGACTTGGTCCTCTGCTTAAAGCGTTTCCATATATAGGGGAAATTACAAATATATTCATGGAATTTATAAGCCTCTCAACTGTATATCTTTGGACCCATTTATTATTAATAAGATGAGCCTACTGAATGCTTGAAAAATGTACTGTTTAATATTTTATTGTGCATATGTAGAAGTAAGGATACAAAAGTGAACTAGAAATATTCCCCACATGCAGCATACTAAAATGTGTACCAAAGTGTTTTCCACAGGTAGCCTATTTTAGCTGGACCTGAGAAGTTTTGTTTAAATGCAGTTCCTGAACCCATATGCTAGATGCCATTCTAAACTTCCATGGTTTACCAAGCTTTATTAGATCACTTTTGCACAATTAAATTAAATAACTTTTGCCCTGAAGAATGATTTCCACCTTTAAGGTCCTCAAAATACTGCCATAAAGAGATAATTTTACAGTGTGGCTCTGAGGGTATATATATATATATATATATATATATATATATATATATATATATATATATATATACATCCTTTAAACTTTTTACCTCATTTACTTATTTCTATGTTCCCACAAACTTCTTCACAATGGTTTCTCTCATATAGATATATATCTGTGCATGCATATAAATTTGTGTGTATATACATGTGCACATATATAGTCTACCATGTTATTTTAACACTTTTATAGCTTTTCCCAAATACTTGAAATTTGAAGTATGAGCTGTTTCTAGGTTTTAGAGTTAATATGTACTGTGGTGCTAAACATCTTTGTGCAGGAGTTTTTCTCCTTTCCGAGGTCCCTCGGTATACATTCCCCCAAAGAGTATAAGGTTAGCATAGAGGGCATGATCTCTTCCATGATTTCATCATTGAAGATTTCACAGAGTGCTACAATACTTCAGGAAATGTGTAACTCATCATTTC